AACTGTGCTGTGGAATCACTCAGTTGTGCAGCTGCTGCTGCTGCTCTACCCTCTCCTCATGTGTCAACATTACATGACTGTCAAGTAGTGGGGCTTGTAGCATAAGATGTTCTTCTGACTACAGCCTAAACAAAAATCTAGTGGAACGAAAATAAATATATTATCTCAAGTTATTCTCAATTCAGAGTTTCATGCTTAAGCTAGCTCAAACCTCTTTGAAGGTGAAAAAAAACTTTTACAGAAGAAGTGCTGTTTTCTCTGCTCTAAGTTGTTCTCTAGCATGCATAGGTCCCAGAAATGATATTTGTATGGGAGATACTTATGCATTTTGTTGTACTTATGGGGCCTCGAAGTTAAGAAAATTGTGTTTTTCGTACTTTCAAGCGGCAATAAGTACAACAAAATGCATAAGTAAGGAGGTTTCGCTCTACGGAATTACGTATGAAAATAACGTAGGAACTGCACGGAATTTTCATACGTAAAAATCAGAGCCGTTGGGTTTCGCTCTACGTGATTTCTCCACGACTGCGAAACATGCGTTGTTGCTTTGGAGACGCGTTGGCTGCATGCGCCCGCCGCATGCACCATGAACTGAAACCGCGTTTCCCTTTTTATTTTGCACGTGGTGTACGGTGTGTGTACCTTGTGTTTCGCGCGGCTTCAACCTTGCCATGGACAAATGCGGAAAATGCGAATAAATATTTCAAAAAGTCCTACGGAGGACCCAACGTAGGAAACAGCTTTCCTACGGAAATCCGTAGAGAGATTTACGTATGAAAGTTGCCCTCGCTCCCCGGCGCGTACGACACACGGATTTTCATACGTAATTACGTAGAGCGAAACCTCCCTAGTATCCCCCGTACGAATATCATTTCTGGGGCCTATGCATGCTAGAGAATAATCTAGGACAGGATATACATGCATATTGGTATGCTGTTCTTGCTGAAGTCCTAGCATGTTTGTTCTAGAACTCCTGGTAGTATTGTACCGTCCTACTGTCTTTCTGTCTTACCGTCCTACTGTCTGATTGTCCTACTGTCTTACTGTCCCACTATCTGACGGTCCTGCCGTGTTGCTTTGCCGTGTCTCTCACAGGGACACGGAATTGCGCTTGGGACTGGAGTCCACCGACGGCCATGCCATGGAGGAGCTGGGCTACATCATGGTGCGCTTGCATATACAGAGCGTGGAAAACCTAGGCCCGTCTTCTGACAAGCTGCTCAGGCGCAAGGGAACCGTGGTAAGGGTTTTTTTTTATTTTTATTTTTTACTGAGAACACAGCTCTACCAAGAGACATGTGGAGACAGACACAGGGGATGTAGGGACGACATGCCAATGTACAGGGAGCAACTCGACCGACTATATCCAAGCTACACGCCTGAATGCCCGCTTTGGGGTGGGACGCAATGGTGTTGGTTGGGGTTGGAGCGGGCCGGGGTGCAATGTGGTGGGCTAGGGTGCCCTGGAGTGGAGCTGGCAGGGATGCCATGAGCGAGGTCGTGTGGGTTAAATGACTAACCATTGACAACTTCAACTTAATGGATTAGATATAATGATATTGAAAAGTCGCCAAGCAGGACATTGATGAGCTGATTACCTTCTTTACTGCACTGAAACTATGCGTTAGTCCAACTGTAATGGCTAACAAGTCTTGTTACTTTCTTGTTGAAATTGTGAGTGTATTTTTTTGCTGTGCTATGTGTGTGTGTGGGTGTGGCTGTGGCTGTGTGTCTGTCTCTGTAGTGTGGTTGTAACGGTCTGTCTTTTGCTGTGCTGTGTTTGTATGTCTGCCTGTGTATTGTCATTTTGACTGTCTTGCTGTGCTGTGTTTGTATATGTGTGTGTCTCTGCATTGGCTGAGTCGTGCATCGGTTTGTCTTGTAGTTGTTCTTGTTTGTGTTGCCAATGTTGGCATCTTGTGCCTGCAACCTGCACTGTGCCCGTCGTCGTATTGTCCTCCTGTGAACTGTCTCGCTTTCCTGCTTCACTCTGTGCTGTCAGTGTGCTGGCTGTCTCGCGTCGTATTGTCCTCCTGTGAACTGTCTTGCTTGGAACATTCTCATCTAGGCCTGGGCCTGTCATTGCTGCGGTTGAAAATCGTAATGCATACCGAGTGGGGGGGTGGTGGTAATTACGTACTCGTGTTTGCTTCTGCCTCTGCACCCATGTCGTCAAGTCGATGTGTTATGTGTGCGTTTGCCTGTAGTGGCAACGTACTGCCGTGTGTCTGTGTGGCCATCGCAAGTGTAGACCAAGCCGCCTTGCCACCAATATCACCTCCACCAACACCACCACCAACAACACCTCCACCTCCACTGCTGCCACCGCTGCCCTTGGCTGCGTACGTTGCCATCATCAGGTTGTGTGTTCTCACCCACTGTCACTGTGATCAGGGTGCAGGATTGCAGTATGGCAACCGTCCGTAGTCTGTGTGCGACGCCAGTGTGTGTGTGTGTTGGGGGGGGGGGGGGGGGGTGCATGTGTGTGTGTGTGTGTGTG